GATGAGTCGTAAAAAATTTTTATTAACTCTAACCGGCTAACTTTATAGTAGAAAGATTGACGGTAATAATAATAGTTATTAATAATAATAATAATAATGATAATAATAATAACAATAATATTAAAGATGATGAGAATGTTAGTAATGAGTGAAATTGAAATAACAATAAGAATAATGATGATGAAGATGATGATGCTAATATATAGAAAAATACATTACGTTCACACCTTAACTTTGTCGATTCTCAGAGCTACGTACGTTGATAACAGATCACACAGCACACTCACGCACACACAAACATATTGATATATATAGAAAAAGAGAGAGAGAGAGAGAGAGAGAGAGAGAGAAAGAGAGAGAGTCAGAGAAAAAGAAAGAGATAGCTTTAACACTTGGTATGTGCATTAATTAAGATTGACCGGTTTACAATCTGTTGTCGTAAGTGTAGTAATTGCTGTTAATGTTGGCGACGACGTGGTGATGATGATGATGTTGTGATGTGATGATAATGATCACTAGATGATGATGATGATGATGATGATGATGATGATGATGATGATGATGATGATGATGATGATGATATGAATAATGATGATGATGATGATGATATGGACGATGATATAGTGATTAGGATGAAAAAAAGGATAATGTTGGTGAGGATTGTGGCGATAAGAGGAATGTCAATAGAGTGAATAACATAATAATAACACTTATGATAAAGAAAAATACTAGTAATAATAATAATAACAACAATAATAATAATAATAATAAAGATGATTCCAATGACGACGATGATGATAATGGTAGAAGTAATAAACTTATGATAATGATGAAATCATGATAATTGCGACAGTTGTCATGCTAATGATTCTTGCCGTTATAACTTCATTCATGGAACCCAGACGGGGTCTCGAACCAGGGAGGTCAGTGCCGATCTATAGGGTCTCTTAAAGTTCAAAGGTCAGATGTGTTACAAAATCCGTAGATGTAATGAGTGTTGTTACATTCACAGCATTAAAATCGCTGGTAAAATATTGCAAAGTTTACTCTCTTTATTATTAAAAATGTAATTGTATTTTGCGCAATGAAATTATTCACATTAGTAATATAATATTATTATTGAGAATATTATTATTGTATTACTACTAGAGACACTACTACTTCTATTACTACTGCTACTACTGCTGTTACTACTTTGAATAAAAAGTAAATATTGTTAATTAACTAACACTGTGCTATTAATTAACTATATTGTCATGAAATATTTTACTATAGCATTACTACAATTACAGTAGTACTATTACATTATTACTACTGCAGAGAGTGTAGTAAATAAAATGTACTACTGGTAGAACTTCACTCGTTAAACCTTTTAATTGATGTCAACACAGTAACAACAAACGAATAATAATAACAGAATGAATAATGCTAACGAATAAAGATTGAAAGATTATAGGTGTGAAGAAATGATGATGGTGATGATGATTATGGTGATGATGATGAATATTATGAGGAATATTATGATGATTATGATTATTTCACAATTTTGATTTCGTACAACAAAGGTTAGTTAGTGGATTGTCAGATTGACTGTGATAATAATGAAAAATAATTAAATATTTTTACTACAACTACTTCTACTTTTACTACTACACTATTATTCTATTATTATTATTTTACTACTACTACTATTTTACTATTAATACTACTACTACTACTACTAATACTAATACTACTACTACTACTACTACTACTACTACTTTACTACTACTACTGCTGCTTATGTTTTTACTGCTACTACTAATGTTTCTTCTACTACCACCGCTACTTCTAATACTACTACTACTAATAATAATAATAATAATAAACAAAATAAACAAAAGAATAATGATAGAATAATAAAAAACTCATCATTGGCATTAGTTGATTTAGATGGGGATAGATAGAATGGATGGTGATCGTATAAATAGGTAGATAGATAGGTATCTGATGGAGGGAACGATAATGAGACCAATTTGAATGACAAAACGTTAATGTTATCACAACTTTGTCATATTTTAATGTTCTTTGATGTGTCTCTCTGTGTTTATGTGTTTGTGAGTGTGTCTGTGATGTATATGTGTATGTGTGGTGTCTGTGTGTGAGTGTTTTGAGTGTGTGTGTGTGTACGTGTGTGTGTGGCAATGAGCGGCGCGGATAAAATGTTGAACATTTTGAAATTTGACCAAACACTACCAATATTTTTTCTGGTGTGACCAAAATAAGGCTACCGAAATTTTTTCATTTTTTTTGGCTATCATGCAAATTTTTAAGGTAAACTTTCTACTCATCATCATCATCATTATCCTCCTCCTCCTCCTTATCATCATCATCATCATTAAACGATGTGATATGATGATAGCGATTAATATACTATAATTTTTATGATGTTCCAGCCGCGAGGATTTGTTAAGATTACAAAATGTGACGCGGGGTGTTATCACGATTACCATATTTTTGGTGGTCATCATTTTTAATCATTACTACTACTACTACCACCACTACTACTACTACTACTACTACCATTACCGTGCAGATTTTTGTCATAATTATCATTATTATTATTATTGTCATGATCTTAATCACCATCATAATTAAATTTATTATAAGTAATTAGTTGTATTTTAATTATTTCTTATATAGTGCCACTGTATCACATTATTTTTTATCAAAATCATCATCATTATTACCGTCTTCATATATATATTTTTTAAATTATAATTTGCATCTTTAAATATATATTTTTTAAATTATAATTTATTATACTGATTAATTATATTATAATTATATTTATAATTATATGTTATTGCGTTTTCGCTTCATTGCCACTCGAGCGTTTGTCGTAACGGCTGAGCAAAATGCCATTACGCCTCGGGCCATGGCGAAACGAACACATTTGAATGCTTACAATATTTTATTGTGTAGTTTTTGTTGTGACTATGTTCGTGTGTTTATGTGTGTGTATCTGTGTGTGCGCGTGTCGGTCTGTGTTGATGCCTAGGCTGTCTTTTTGTGTGTATATATGTATTTATGGGTTTTTTTGTGTCTGGTTGTATGTCTCTTTCTCTTCTACACGTATGTCATCATGAGTTTTTGTGGTTGTTTATGTTGTATTGTTGCGTGTGTGTGTGTGTGTGAGACGTGTGTTATTTGGTTACTTCTGTTGTAAAGTTTATGTTTATTATGCTAAATGTTAATTTGCACGTTAATGTGTCTGTGTTATTCTACATATAAAAACACAATTCCTACTCGGAAATTTAAAATCACTTTTTAATTTTTACATTTGTGAATGATTTTTATGTGCTTGGCATAAAGTACAAAATGGAACAAACGAATGAAAACTATTTAGAAAGAGTTTTTAAATAGAGCAACATTTGAAGAAAGCACATGACGAGATATGAAAATTAACAAAGCAAAATACGTCCAAAACTTGTCACTCAAGATGGTACTCGTTTTACTGTTCCATTTCTTAATTATTATCACTATAATTCATATTTAATTTTACATAATTATCATAATTTATTTTTTCCCATTATCATTCTTATCACCATCCTCATCATCATTCATGGCTTTCGTCATCATTATATTCATCATCATCGTCATCATTGCCACCACCACCACCACCACCACCACCACCACCACCACCATCATCATCATAACCATCACCACCATTGTCATCATCATCAGAAGAATGCCAGTACGATGAAGACAGTTAGATGTGCGGAAAAATGTTTCGATGGAAGCAATTAGCGACTGATCCAGCGTCAGCAGTGACGTAACTCTGACGTCATCTTTGACACGGATTCTTATTGGTGGTTCTCTATAATGAGGGCTGCTTTTAATGATGAGTAAGTTGGTGACGAAACTGATGACGATGACTTTGACGACGACGATGATGATGATGATGAAAATTACTGATAATGAGTAGACGATAATATTGAGATCATCATAACGGTGACGATTGTAAAAATGTTAACGCTGCTTTATGATGATGATGATGATGATGATGATGACGATAACGATGATGATAATGACGATAACGATGATGATGATGGTAACAATGATGATGGTGATGACAACTTCAAAATGAAGAAAATGATAATGTCCACTTCTACAGCCCATACAACAAATCAGGCTGCTGGATCTGGTAGTGTTGAGTTTGTTGTTGGTGCTGTGTCTGCTGGTGATAATATTGCTGAATTTGTTGTTGTTGTAGCAGTTGCTGCTGCTGCTGCTGTGGATACTGCTGTTGCTGATGTTGTTGTTTAGCCCGTTGCTTCTTGCAAACCTTCGCTATTAAATGTTATTAATTAATTAGTTGTTATTAGTTTGAATAATTTCATTTATAAATTTATATTGACATACATTTAAGATTTAACTCTAACGCTAATTTAACTCAAATTTATAGCCAAATACATTGAACTATGATGATAGTGGCCAAATTGATTACAAAAATGTTAGGTATTCATTTTGGACATCATTAACAACCGAGATTCTTCGTCGTAACTTCAATTTTGCATCTGCCAACCATTTTCTAATCCCCATTAACCATTTCACTCACGTTTGAAAAGTTCGAGAGAATGTTTCTTCACATTATCACCGATCAGTTCATCATCATCGTCGTCAAACATTTTTACTCTTGCAGATGTTTTCTGGTGTCTTGAGCCAAGACAGCATAAAGTATTAGTTTGTATATAACGTTACTAAATGTTTTTTTTAATTTATTGATAAATTTAAATAAGATAACACAAAAAAACATAAAATATATATTTATTTTGTTATAGTTAATTTCAGAAATATACAAACTCGATAAAGAAATATCTTAAAAAAAATTTAAGGAAATTTCATTGTTAAAATTTATAAATAAATAGCTAAAACTGAACCAACGTTTTAGAATTTTTCGGCTTCAGAGGTGCTGGTACTTTTTTGACGTCTTTCATGTATCTTCTATCGTCTGGCAGGTCCCTGAAGCCCCTGGCAAATGGATTGTGGTCGATCTTTAGTTGAGTGATCCGTTCGTTTTGGTAGGCTGTCACAGCAATGAATGATGTTTCCTGGAAGATGAATGTTTTATACTGTACATTGGATGCTGTTGTGAGTGCAGTTGCTAATGATGGTGAGGCGAATAATCCAGCTGCTGTATTTTGTTTCGCTGCTGTTGATGTCGCGAGAATGTTCCCGTTAGTGTTGTGGTTAAATGTAGATGAGTGTCTGCTGCTGAAGCTCTTGTCGCTCGTGTAGTTGTTGTCGCTCGTGTAGCCGTTGAGCTCTACGACGTGAATCCTCGGAATGTACTTGTGCATGGATTGCAATGGGATCTGCGATGGGAATGCAGTGAAATGTGGGATGTAAAAAATATTCCATGTGATGTGGTGTGGCATTGTAGTAAGATATTAGGTAAAATAAGATTCCTTCGTGCAGATGATGCAAAATAATGAGATGCGATGGTACATGTTGATGAGGTGTTATTTCTTAAGATTACATCCGCACGTGATATGACAACAAGGTCAATTGTTTGTTTTGCAATAATTAATACCAAGATTATTAATTTACATGTTCAATTTACTTTTACAATTTAATGAGATAATTTACTAAACATTTTGACTGATTAAATATTAAAAACAAAAACACATCACGTGTACACAATATTTCACAAAGGCTTCATAAATTCAACAAAATTCTAAAATAAATTTAAATATACAAACATTTCCGGTCTCTTCTAAAAAATTGTTGGTCAGTTTGACCTTGTTGAAGATCACTGAACCTTCCTGTTTTGACCTCTTCATCCAATGAGAGCCAAGGGAAGGAGTGTCAGGGTGTACGTAAGTTTTTCCTTGCAACCATGGCAACGAAGGGGTGGTGTAGTTGTTAGGGGGGAATAATGCTAACGAAATTGGGTGCTGGAGGTTGGGGGCTGTCCGTGGGTTATTGTTGGCCGGTGATGTCGTTGCGAATGATGTTGTTGTTCGAAGATAAGATGGATATGTCGAATGTTCATGAGGTCGTGTTTTATCTGACTGTTGTTGCGCGATTTGTGAGAAGCTGTGTCGTTGCGACGTTTGTTCACGTTGATAATGTTGTTGGTGCTGTAATTGAGGTTGATACTGTGGCTGTTGATGTTGATACTGCAAGTATTGTTGCTGCTGATATTGATAATTATCGAAATAAAATTGTTGTTGCAGTTGGTATTGTTGCTTCTGATATTGTTGCAGGTACCAATCGCTGTAAAGGCTGAAAAACTTCTTGCCCTCGTACACCCCCTCCTCTGGTTCGTCAACCAGCGTGGAGCTCCACCTTGAATTGTGGTAGCGGTAGCGGTACTGATCGACCTGGATGACGTCCAACAAGATGGCGTATTTGACGTCAGGGTCAAGGTTGTTTAAAGTTATTTTCAGAGGCGGGAACATTCTCCTAAAATTTTTAAATAAATAATTTTATTCGTTTATATAAATTACCATTTTGGTTTTAAAAGCCGTGTGCAAACTATTTATAGATTTAATACTTCAATTTGAAGATATTTGAAAATAATTTTTAGTAAAAAAACTTGATCGGCCACCAACCTTCCAGATTTTGTGATGATCATTTCCGTCCCGATGACGTCAAATTTTTTCCAAAGGTCTGCATTTTCTAAGGTAACCTTGATATCACCGATGCGATGTTTTGTGTATTTGTTGTTGTCTCGTTTGTCGTTGCAATCCATGTTCTGCTTGTTCTCAACGTTATTGTTCTCGTCATCCGTGCTGATGTCATTGTTAATGTTGTTGTCGTTAATGTGAGTGTTGTTCTTGCTGTTGATGTTGCTATTGTCAACATTCAAATCCGAGCTGTTGATGTTGTTGTAGACGTGTGTTTGGTTGTTGTTGTTGTAACTGCCAACATTGTTGTTGTTGATGATCGCGATGTTGCTTAAGTTTTGGAAGTTATTGAAGTTGCTGTTGTTGTAATTTTGAAGCACCTGGTGATTAGGATATTGTTGTTGGAGTTTTTGATTTTGTTGATGATGTTGATGATAGCAATAAGCAAAATTGTTGTTGTAACAACAGCCATTGCACTGTGGACACTTCTGATGAACGTTGCTGCTGACGTTGTGGTGGTAGCCGTAGCAGCTGTTGAAGCCTGTCGCCAACATTTTCAACCGTCCTCTTTCAACAAATAACTTCGGCTATTGTTAAATCCACTCTTAGTAATCAGTAATCGTACGATACGTTGAAAGCAAGCAAGCAGGTAAGCAAGTTTCACTAATCCATTTCAACCAAGAAACAGAACCAAGTTGAAAATAAATTATAACAAATACTGGAATGTGAAACTTTTCTAAACCTCCTAAGATTATAAACCATGCAATGGAATGAATTATAAAACTAAAAAACCAGGATTACAAATCGGTGAATCAATTCACTCAACCGTAGCAATACTACTCTCCATTGATTTCGTCGTGTGTGGCCATTTAAATAGCTTTTATCATTGGTTTCATCAATCACTCTCTTGACCATTAGGCTGTGTGTGTGTGCTTGTGTGTGTGAGTACATATATGTATATATAACGTGTTATATATACATATATAATGCATTTACGCTCACACACACACAGACACGCATACATACACAAATATTTATGTATAATGATTTAATTTTTTTTAGTTTTCTTACTTTTGTTTGTTTTTTCAACTGTTTATAATTCGTTTGTTTATATTTGTGAGTGTTTAATTGAATTATTTATTTATTTAAATTAATATTTTTAATATTAAAATTTTAAATAAAAAAAAGTTTTGTTGAAAAGAGGCTGAACGTTATGCATCACTAAATAGAAGGTGCTACGCGATTGGTCAGCCAAGGTGTTAAGTTCGCTGTGATTGGTCCATTTAAATAGATCAATAAACTTCCAAGGCCTATCGTAGGAATGTTAGGTGTTGAAATATGTAAATTAATTTGACAGTGTTTAATTAAAGGGTACATTAATTCAATTATCATTATAATGTTGTTATTTTAGCAGTTATCATTGCAGTGTAGCGATTTGTTCTTTGTCATCATTATCATCATCGTTTTCGTCATCTCATCGTCATCATTATCAAAACATAGCCCAAATTATCATCCCCATCAGTATCTTTATCACTATCATCGTCATCATCATTTCTTTGGACATCATATTCATGTTTGTCGCAGAGGTATATCACCATCACCGTAAATAGCATCATCATATTCAACACCATCATCATTTTGTCGTTAGTATTATTACCGTTTGTTATTAACATAATTTATGTGGTTAGGTTTATTTTTGTCACCATCATCATCTTCTTCATCATCATCATCATCATCATCATCATCATAAACTACATTAAAATTGTTTGTTATTTGTTATCTGCAATGATAAAAGTGTTATCACCATTTTTTAACGCTTATTGATTTTATTAAATATTTTTATTATTCGTCAACATCATCATCATCATCGTCGTCGTCGTCATCATCACCATCAACTTCATCCTCAACATCTTTATCATCATCATCAAATATACTTTGGGATCATTGTCGTTTTAAATATATAAATATAATATAATTAATATAAAAATGTTATTCCGAGTTCTTACATCAACAAACTTGAAATAAAATTCCTACAAAAAAACAAAACACTTCTAAACTAAATAGGAATTCTAAAAAATGAGAGTAAATAAAAAACAGTTGGTCAGTTTGACGAAGGTCACTTAAACTTCCTGTTTTGGCCCTTCATCCAATCAGAACTCAGATATGGAGAACCGCGGTACACCCGTAGTTACTCCTTTCATCGTAACTTGTTGTGTGTACTACAACTTTAAAAATGGGCCCATTAAAATTAAATTTTTATCTTCGATTTGTGTTAAATTCCATCAGTAACTACCGGCCAAAAAACACACCATTAAGAAATATTTGTCATTTACCCGCCGGTACATCTACAAATTTACCAAAATCTAGTACATCCGAGCCTATCGAAATGTGGTGCATCCAGACCTTACCATGATTTGGTGCATCCCATCCTACCGGGATTCCATCCAGGTGGGCAACGTTTGGAGACTTCCACTTCCTCCGAGATTCCTTGGGACACGGCACTGACTGGTGTTATGAAATATTTCGTGTTTATTTTTAAATTTCTATTAAAATTATTTATAATATTATATTTTTTATTATTTTTATACTTTTTTAATTATTTTTTTGACTTAAATATGTTTTTATTTCTAGAATTGATCCTCTTTTTTTAGACATAGCTAACAACAAAGTCAAACAAACTTATGAGTGCCAATAGAGCCAAGATAGCAACAAGAATATGAAGAAAGCATCTGGACATCTTCTTTGTTAGCTTATCCGTTGTATTTATATACTTGTTCCCAACGTATTACAACGGTATCAATATAATTCTTCATCCAAAACATGTGTTGCAAAGTTTATTTCAATTCCCAAATAGAAATTAGTCAATTCGACTGTGAAATTGAATTAAAGTTGTGACAGCAAGTATAAATTGCAACATGAAGAATAGAAATTATGAATAAATATATAAAAATAAACCAAGTTAAGTAAAAACAAATTTTTAAATATTGAATTAGATTACCTTGATCAAACACGACTTTCACACACTCACACAAACACACACATACATATATACCTTATGTATGTGTGTTTATGTGTGTGTGTATGTTTGTGCGTGTGGTGTGTGTGTTTGTGTGTGTGTGTAAAAATATATAAAAACTAAGTTTATATATTAAAAATATAGAATTATTGATTTAATTATTGAACGTCAGCAGAGCCCACCATCATTAATGACGTTGATGTTCGCTAGGTGCCTGTAGACACGGCGATAAAATATCATTTACGTATAATGCGCTGGACTCACTGTCACACGACAATGAAGTCGGTCAAATTGGCGTCGGCCAGCCTTGAAATCATTTTTATTTCTAATTGACTTGTTTTTAAAATAAATGATTGATTGTTTGGCTGGTTGATTAATTGATATATAATTGATTGATTGATTGATTGATTGATTGATTGATTGATTGATTGATTGATTGATTGATTGATTGATTGATTGATTGATTGATTGATTGATTGATTGATTGATTGATTGATTGATTGATTGATTGATTGATTGATTGATTGATTGATTGATTGATTGATTGATTGATTGATTGATTGATTGATTGATTGATTGATTGATTGATTGATTGATTGATTGATTGATTGATTGATTGATTGATTGATTGATTGATTGATTGATTGATTGATTGATTGATTGATTGATTGATTGATTGATTGATTGATTGATTGATTGATTGATTGATTGATTGATTGATTGATTGATTGATTGATTGATTGATTGATTGATTGATTGATTGATTGATTGATTGATTATATTTTTTGAAGGTACTGAAAATAGTTAAAGTTGGTCAACTCGTAAACTGTCCAGAAGGTCAAAAGTTCAATTTCAGCTAAGCCAGTGATCCTATCGAAATGTGTTCCACGAGTTGTAGACAGACTCATGTCATGAGGATGGTGGGATGACGACGATAATGATGATGATAGATAATTGTGTTATGGATAGCATATAACATCAAAAAATGCCTAAAAAATAGTTTGTTCACTTGAACAATAAGTTGGTAACATAAAACGCCATTTATATAAAGATCATTCCAAATTTTTCAAACACCACAAAATATCAGATATTAAAAGATATGCAGTTGTTTCATATCGATTATGATTAAAATAAAAGAGTTGCCAAAAACCAAGAGTTCGTAAATATAAACCAGGGTGTACGTTGCTAAAAACGAATATATCTTAATTCGAAAAAACATAAAATGATGGAGATAAATATAGAAGACGTTCATTATGCCGATATAATTCATACTGATTCCTTTTATGAGAGCCTGGCAGCCAGCAAGAACATCAAAGTACCATATTTTCACGGAATTTTCCTGCATAATGAATGCGCAATATGTGGCGAAGAATTTGAAGAGGGATCCATGGTTCTGGAACTTTCTTGCAAACACATCTTCCATTTCAAATGTTCCCACTTTTGGTTCAAGGAAAAGACCTCCTGTGCCATCTGTAGAAAGCAAGTCGCATTCGCTCAAAAAATATATATCAAATGGAGGTCGGTTATTGATGGTGAAGATCATTCTGGTAGGAAGAATCTCATCTGCACGATATCTTCAGAGGATAAATTTTACTGAAGCATCGAAATGAATACTTTTGTCGGAATTGATCTAAAATTTTGAGATCTCTACTAATTTTCATGTTTGGTAAACTTTTTCGTTGGATAAATATTTTAAACATTCAGAAATTTATTTTCAATGTCTCGTACATTAACGATTTTCAATGATTTTTTCGGTAAATTTCAAAATTATTAAAAAAAAATGTTAATGCTCTACTTCAACATGGAAACATACAAGTTAAAGTTTCATCGCTAGATTACGCGATTGTGCTTCAGGAAAGTCAACAGCTTAACGTCATGAAATCATATCAGCCAAATTTTAAAGCATTCAATCTATTAAGACATATTAAGCCATTTGTTTTAATAGAATGCCGTACATAATAATAATAATAATAATAATAATAATAATAATAACAGCTAAACGGATAGACTGATAAACATGTTACGATTCGTTCGTCAGATGCTCTCACGAAATTTATGATGATGATGTTGGTGATGATGATGATGTTGGTAATGATGATGATGTTGGGGATGATGATGATGTTGGTAATGATGACGTTGTTGGTGATGATGTTGAAAATGGCGTCGATGATGACGTCGATGATTTTGATGACGACGATTACGTGTTGAAGTTTACGTTGATAATTACCGAACAAGTTATTACATGAAAAATAAAAACAAATCGTTACTCTGACTATGACGATAGCAGTTATGATAATACGATGATGATGACGATACGACTATAAATGAAAATGATGGTGATAATCATATTTATAAATGTAATAATAACCACAATTATTATTGTTAATATGATATTATAGCCAATATACCCGATACATTCTTAAACATGTTTCACAACACCCACCAACAGAACTGATCAAATACAGGATGACAGCATGTAACTTTGAATCAGTTTCGTTTGATTCGTGTGTAACACTGGCTTATGAGAAGTAGAAAATTTTGCCACTCAACCCCTACTCAATCATCACAATACTTTACTCGCTTGCAATTGTGTACTTTAATCCAGCGTACACACACACACGTGCACAAAAGTACAAATGTACTCATACACATGCAAAGTGTACACTGCACATGTACACGTACAAAACATCGCACATACTCGTTACACTGTTGCGTTATCGAGATTATACAATCAAACTTGTTTGCACAAGAATGTATGTAATAAAATAAATAAATAAATAAATACACTTGTACTGTACACAAATTCAAGTCAAAACACACACACATGCACAAACACAAGCTTGCAAACAAACAAGCACCACATAAATAAATAATATACAAAAACGCAAACAAACACAACCATAAAAAAAACATCAACCATAATAAGATATTCATGCATGCATGCACGCATACAAACATCCACTCCATGCATGCATGCACATGCACAGGCACGCATGCATTACATATCTCCACATGAAAATTATTTATACAGTGACGGCAACCAACTTTTTGCATTAGCGTCTCACTTAATTAGGAACATAAGCCGACGCTTCCAAACATTTTTTACTTTAAAACAGTATAACTATGAATACAATTGGTATATTGTAGAAATCGTACAGTTACATACAAGAATGTAAATGAGAAAGTTGTATACAAAAATGTATCTATATATATATATATGTTTGTATAGACATAATTTCTACACAAATTTTGAAATTGTATAATAAATAGACATCGTATACAATCAAAAAGTTATACAAATATACAATTTAATTAAGAACGTTGAAACAACTGAGTTGAAAATAATATACCCTGCGTTAGGCAACAGTCAAAAAACATCTCAAGTTATAATAAAAATGAGTTAATGGATATTTTTAAATAAAATGCCACACAAACAATTACGATACACAAGCACGCATATAAACAAACACACAAAACACACACACAAACACACATACATATAATTGATGAAAATCACACCATGTTCCGCGTCAGTTAGCTTCCTGCTTAATTTTTCAATTTTCCTGACATGATAGAACAAAAACAACAAAGATTTTAAGGTAAATGACCGTTAAGTATTCACATTAAACAGACAAAGTATCAACATTGTAGAGATGCAGTATACGATTTACGATCTTCCGTCGGAAAAATCGAAAAATTAAATAGGAAGCTAGCTAACATGGAGCATGATGTGATTTCCATCAAAAAAATTGCATTTCTGACAGTCTTAATCCTATATATATATATATATATATATATTAATATATACATAGTCATATATATATATATATAAATTGGAAAAACGAACTACAAACATGTTAACGCCAAACATTCAGTAGAATTTATAGAATATTGTAAAAATTATGATCTATTACCAGCATATGTATACCAAATACCAAATAGTTGGCATTAGTCAATTTAATGTTTGAAATTTAAATTGATTAATGTCAGCAATTCGTTAGAATTTATACAATACTGAATAAAATATGGTCTCCATCTAACATATGTATATGAGTATATATATACTACTATTATACAAGGATAAATAATCCTTGGTTGCTGCCTTGAAAAATGGCTGACGCATATATAGTTGACGAATTAATATCGTATAATTGGTATTTGGATTGTTTAACTAGCGAGGAATTTTTGAAAAGTGGTCTGATTGATAGTTTTAGGGTTCAAGATATTGTTGCCAGCAGAAAAAAGTTTGTTAGAAAAAGCTGAAAATGTTTCAATCGGTTTGTCAGGATTAATTACATATTTTGCTGACAAAACTCAAATGCTTTTCTGAATTATTAGATGGTATACTTTTTAAAATAAGTTTTCTAAGTTTGTTACTATGGATTTTTATCGAATTGTGAGGTCTGAGGGTATTAGAACTCGACAAGCGGTTTCAAAAAACATGGAGCCAATATTTGATATATTGGTTAAAAATTGCGACGTTTCGAATGAATTAAGAACTAATGTACAGCTGCTGGTTAACAAACCAGTTGAATACGACTCGCCGAATGATACACAGAAAACTGCTGCAAAACAACCGACAATCAATTCTTGTCTAATTAATTATAATGAACGAAACAACATGGCAGCTTCAAACAGTGTTGGCAGTATTAATGATAATCCGCCTCAGAAAAAATCAAATGCCGTTGCTGACAGTAGAGAAAAACATTCAAGAAATGTAGCCTCAACTGCACGTCTTTTAAACTAATTGTTGGTTCGTAGCCTTCTGGCGAATTGAGAATTCCAGTCTCTTCCTCGCCCGTAAAAGAATATTTCATGTCAGCAACGTCGGTAAATGCGTGGCGGCTGATGTGCTTGGCTACCTCAAGTCAGTCAAGAATCTTTAACGTGCTACCCTGCTTTCAAGAAGAGGACGAACGAGGACAGGCCGGATGATTCGCACCCATCAACTTTTTTTCGTTTGTGCGTAGATACCAAATATGTGGTGGTGATAACTAGTGATTGGTGATTGATCGTGGCCTGAGCATGTCAAGGTCCGAGGTTGGACATTCAACTAGACTGTTTAACCCGTGTGATCGACAAGCAACAACAAATTCAAGAACGAAATCAAGAACGTCACTTGATTGATTCATTTTGTTGATAAACATGACATAGATTTTATTTCAATTTTCTGTCCTGTTTGCATTAACATTGTGCATTGAATTTGCGAGAAGGAGTTCTTTTAAGAGATGTTCATCTATAAAAGGCGCTGTGTAAATGTTTTAATAATAATAATAATAATAATAATAATAAGAATCCTTTCATGGTTGAAAGTAACGTACCATATTACACTGTCTTGATATTTAATACTAGCAATCCGTAATCGCTCCAGTGAGCTAAGCTAATGCCTGTCGCTCCCATTCCACACTCCTCTTAATGAGTCTTAACTACTCTTCCATCGTTTTTACCCAATTCATATGAATATAAATTTATTTCAATATTTTTCGTCACCCTCAGCAACCAAATCTCCAATCTATTTTCTGAATACAAACATGTCGGTTTCTTCCTCTTAATTACATCTGTAGCTATTTCCAATAAACTTTTTGTATGCTGTTTGACTGGATTGGATGTTTGTTTTCTGATCATTTAATATTTCATTAATTTTTTTCTCTTATTAAAGGTTGTTGTCATTAAATTGTCATGTATTGATTAGAGTAAGTGAAGACTGTATTTTTATAAAAAAAAAATTTGCATCACGCACGATAAATGAACATCCATGTATATTTAGATACGTTCGTGTGCTGTGCTGTACAAATTTTGTTATTCACGCACATGTGCGACTGTATACAAAACATACAATACCTGTAATATGTGTATGCGCACATGCATTTTAACACATGCAAATATGCGTGTTTGGTCTCACGTGCGAATTTTATCACATACATGTGTGTGCATATGTAATAATGTACCATGAATATTCATTGATTAATTAATGCATTGCAATGTAATATATATATATATATATATATATATATATTTATATTCATATATATATATGTATATATATATATATATATAGTGTATGTGTTTGTAATCGCGTGTGCACGTGTGTGTGTGTTTTGTATGTATGTATGTATATGTATATGCATATACATACATGTGTATGTATGTATGTATAGTGTGCACAAGAACGGAAGAGTTTAAAGGAATGCTATTGGCTGCCTAGTTTATCGGTCTGCTGATGCAGACACGGCTAATGTATTAGCCTGTGGTCATTGTTTTGTTTATATATATATATATATATATATGTGTGTGTGTGTGTGTGTGTGTGTGTGTGTGTGTGTGTGTGTGTGTGTGTAAATATAACATGTGTTTATATGTGTATACAATTATGTAAAATATGCATATAAATTCATACTTATAGTAATAGCTTTTATGTGGATGAGTATGTCTATGTATATATTATTATTTTCATTATTGAGATGTTAGTATTTATGTAACTCTATTTAAAAACTTTATCAAAAGCGCTGAATTTACAAAAGCTTTAATAATGTAACATAGAACTATAATAGCAATATATATCATGTAAAATAAAAATTTAGAAGATCTCTTCTTGGGAAGAACTAATTTCTTTTATTGGAAATAAAAATGATGATAAAAAAATTTTAAGTTATATTCATCGGATCATTTTTTTATAACTTTAAAAAAGTTAGAACATGACGGACGCATAAAACTTGTTACATTCAAACTTTACGTAACAGTTATTTACTAGGCCTTAAATAGCCGTAACTTTTAAACCGTGTTTCTTTACATTTTAATGTGAGTAAACTCTCTAACCCCCCACCTCTCGATAATAAAGTTACCCCAAGTTGGCAGACCCTGACAGATAGTCACAGTGTGTACATATGTTTGTGTGTATCTATACGTGTGTATATGTATGTGGATGCATACGTATGTGTGTATATGTCTGTGTATATGTGTGTTTGTATGTGTGTATTTGTATATAATGTATGTCTTTATGTATATAATGTAGATGTATTTATATCTTCACATAAACATATTAGAGACGCGTAATAGTATCTTAATTCGGTTGTTTAAATGTTTAACACGGCAATTTGTTTTTGTCACATGCCATATTCGTATGCAAATCTCCTGTTTGTAATTATCACTTAACCTATACACATGTGTAAATATATCAATTCAGATATATATTGCATATGTATACACACACACACACACACACACACGAACACACACACATACATACAAACTCTCTCTCTCTTACACACACACGCACACAATGATCCTCTGTATGTAATCCCTACACACACACACACACACATGTATGTATATATATATATATATATATATATATATATATATATATACATATACATTTATATCTTGTATATCCGGGTATATCTGGTATTGTATGCTTCAATACCTACACATACATACGTGGTTTTGTGCGTGTTTTTAAATGTAGTTTGTAATTTATTAGGCCTTTATTGTCGTTTAACTTTTGAATTAACCTCGGAATTTTTTTCAATTTA